GGGGGGGGGGGGGGGAAAGCTTCATAGCAGCATGTAACAAGATGGACAGACATACTTTCAAGATTATGAATCAACACTTTCTTTCATACTTCTCTTCTTATCTCTGCAACAGTCCAACTTTGAACTGTGGTATCTAAGATTATTTCAATTTAAATTCATCCAAGGAACCCTCCCTACAAGTTTGGTGGGAACATCCCAGTACAACCTATATAAATATAAAACAAAGGTTTCTTCTAACTTTGAAATTTTGCTTTTTGCTTAAGAAAAGCCTGTCAGTGACAGCTATTTTCAAGCAGAAGAAACTTTACTCATTTCAAACTTCCTTGCTGCAGTGCAACACATTATTTATTCTGCTTCTATTAAAATCTTTTAATTTCCCATGGACAGTAAATTGAGTTGCATTCATTCACTTCCAGCAGCTGTATTTGTCCACACCATCAATCCCAAGCACATTACAAAAGGGGAGAGGGAAGGAAGTTAGCAAATGTTCTGCTGTATACCACTGTCAAAAACAACATTTCTCCATTGTATGCACAGTTTCAGTAGTGCACGTGTAAGAAAAACAGAACTGCATAGAATGCTTTTTGACTACTGATACCTGCTTTGCCATCCCATTATGTAAACCAAGGCATAACAAATTGAGATGAGATCAGACACACAGTATATTGACCTGGACAAAATAATTATGATTAATGATAACAGAAAAGAAAATCTGTTGAGAAAGAAGAAACAATGTGGCTGAGCCTTTTATATACAGTAAGAAGTGTCCTACAGTTACTGAAAATTGACAACACACCCCCACTTCTTACTTCTTGTTGCAGAGTAAGTTTAAGTTTGAAGGCCAAATCTCTTACTTTGCCCAGCAGCCAAAACAGGTCACACCAATGATGTTACCAAGTCTAATGATCTGTCTTGTACACTCAAGTGTGTAGCCCTTTATGCTACCAAACTGAAACCTGAATATGTGTATATAGAATTTTTTATGAAAATTTTTGGAAAGAGGTGCGCATCATATTCTAATAAAATATCTTAATTTACCAAATGGTTTTCATTACATTTATGGTACACACGTCGATTGCAAAAGCCAAAAATGTTGTACATGACCACGAAATACAAATGATGCCTTTACTCAATGAAACAAAGAGAGTACAGACAATGAGATGAATTTCTAAACTTCAAAAGAATTTTCTGTAAGATGAATTATAAGTTCCAGATCTTTTAAAATGAATATTTCGTATCACCACACTTGTATACAAAAGTGATGCAAAACAGCACAAAATCCTAAATAAACATACGAGAACACAACTATACATGAAAGATTCTTCAAAGTTTTCTAGCCCACAATCTTCAGAATATTTATGATTCTGTACTTTTTTCCCCAGAGTAAAATGAGGGAGAAGTGTGAACTTGCATGTGATCCAGTGCTGATATTGAGGGCACCATGGTCAATGCTGAAGCTCAGGATGTCAGAATCACTCAGAATGATGGGCTGCCCCACCTCACGTTCCTGCAGTGTGTGCGTATAGGTGTTTCCACCTTGTTCATCTGCTTCTTGCTGACCCCCATCTAATGACAGTGATAAACCGCCTTCCACCGACTGCTTCACTAGAGAACCTGTAAAAATATCTCTTATATGTTCACATGACTTGCAAAACATTACTAAAAATTTCATACAAATTATATATTCATGACCAAATTGCTAGTCATTATGAAAATGACTAAACTTTCCCTTATTGATTCATATACACATTTCACTTTATCAACCCAGCTACAGTAGGAAATCATACCTGCAAGATGTTTTGAGATAACATGCTCCTTCTTATGGTTCATGAACAGAGAGAATGAAGTGAACTGCTTTTTGCACTTGCCACATTGGAACACATCTTCTTCATCCAAAGTAATTGCAGCTGAAACATAAGAACTTAATGGTGAACTCTGGTTAAGTATAAATCAGGCTGCACGTAGCTCACTGAGAATGTTAGGTTACCTTGGTATAGAACTTTCTGCAGCTAGTGTCTAACATATGCAATTGGCTTCTGAGCTTGAGTCTTATACAACAATTTAGTTTAAATCAGTATTGTTAATCACCTGTATATCTTGTGAACTTAACATCATGGCAGTGCTATCAGCACCTTAATAAATTATATATTTGAAGGGGTGAGAATGAAAAAGACCAAAGTGATATTTTTTAAAAATTGACTTCTGCACACATTTTACTTCTACACCATCTACGGAACCTACTGTCAATGTAGTGTGAGACATGCCAGTCCACTGGAAACAGCCGTTTATTTCTTTGGCAGAGACAAAAATATAAGTTCTGATGTATCTTCAGATGCACATTTTGAACCAAGTGGACATATCTTCACCTGTGGTATGTAACCTTATTTAATACTATATATAATCTACTAATGACATATGAGCCAGAGCAAAATCATTCTTAGTTATGACATGAAATTTAAATACAAGTTACTGTCAGTTCTACTGTAACTCTAACACTGATCCCTTAAAAAAATCCGAGCACAAGTAATAAATATGTTCTATATAAATATAATTAAAATTAGAAGATTATCATTGGTCTTTGGAAATACATTTGGACTACATCTGTCTCATACCATCTAACTTTCTCAGGTGGAAATTTGTCTGTTGAAGTACAGTAGGGCACCGCTTATACGGCGGGTTAGGGACCAGACCCCCGCCCTAAAGCGAAAATCGCCGAAAAGCGGATCTTTGTCTTATTTCACTTGCAAATGCATATCAAAGCCTAATAAGATGTTACACTATCATATAGTAAGTGCACAATAGCGCTAGCCCTAAGAAAACGATATGAAATTAAAATGAATATCAGTAATACACACATTGTCCTCAGCTTATAGTGATTGGTGAATATAAATTTGAAAATTGATATGCTTATAGTAGGAAGGATGAAGGAGATGGCGCATCTTCATCATCTGACTCTTCAACGAATCTTATTC